AAGTTTACTTACCACAAACGAAGTTGTTGTCAAACAAGACTTGGCCAGTGGGACATAAAGATATGTATTCTCCGACACTCCATGAGGCTGGGTCAACCTTTAGTCTAACACCTCTAACAGTTAAACTGATATTTCTTGCATTGGACTCATTCACTAGCAATGCTGCGGCACTTTGTAAATGCTTTGCAGAATCCATGACACTCACAGCGTTTTCTTCTTCGCTTCTATTCGTAGACTCGGGACCTGTCATGTTGAAGCTCAGTATTCTGAAAGACGCATTGCAGGAAATATTGTTGTCCTCGTCGATGATTTCGCAGTCTCGTATCCTAACATCTTGCACTGCATTGGAAGGAAGGGCAACTAAGTTGTTTACATTCCTCATGAGCGCTAATTGTACGTCTTGCTTGAAGTTTTCGCTGGCATGAAGCGGATTTCCACCATTGTTTACCTTGTTGCTGTCTACGTAAGCGTCGTTGAGGCTTCTATTGTCGCCGACAATCTCGAAGGAAAATCCAAAAGAAGGCACAACCAAAGAGAAACCAAGAACTCGGACACGAACGCTATGGGATAGGGTGTAGTCAAATGGATTGGACACGTTGCATTTGTAAAATCCTTCATCTTGTTTCTGCGCAAAGTTAAAGGTTAACACAGAGAAATTGCCATTCGGAACTAAAATATACCCATCACCATTTAATGGCTTAAATAGCCACTGGTATCGAAGCGGTTTTGTGATAGAAGTCGCGTTACATCGCATATAAAACCTAGTGTTCACGGGTATGTTCAGGTTGCTTGGAGGCTGATACACCATGGTTGGTGGTGCGTGTACAATAATGTAAGAGGCTGTTGATGGTTCCACCTTTATGTGGTTGTATGCTTCACACGTATNAATCCATGACACTCACAGCGTTTTCTTCTTCGCTTCTATTCGTAGACTCGGGACCTGTCATGTTGAAGCTACGTAGTCTGAAAGACACATTGCAAGAGATATTGTTGTCCTCGTCGATGATTTCGCAGTCTCGTATCGTAAGATCCTGCACTGCATTGGAAGGAAGGTCAACTAAGTTGTTTACATTCCTCACGAGCGCTAATTGTACGTCTTGCTTGAAGTTTTCACTGGCATGAAGAGGATTTCCACCATTGTTTACCTTGTTGCTGTCTACGTAAGCGTCGTAAGCGTCGTTCAGGCTGCTATTGTCCCCGACAATCTCGAAGGAAAATCCAAAAGAAGGCACAACCAAAGAGAAACCAAGAACTCGGACACGAACGCTATGGGATAGGGTGTAGTCAAATGGATTGGACACGTTGCATTTGTAAAATCCTTCATCTTGTTTCTGCGCAAAGTTAAAGGTTAACACAGAGAAATTGCCATTCGGAACTAAAATATACCCATCACCATTTAATGGCTTAAATAGCCACTGGTATCGAAGCGGTTTTGTGATAGAAGTCGCGTTACATCGCATATAAAACCTAGTGTTCACGGGTATGTTCAGGTTGCTTGGAGGCTGATACACCATGGTTGGTGGTGCGTGTACAATAATGTA